TACGAGAAGCACGCACGCTTAGCGCTTTTTTTACCTTTTTTTTAAAAAGGTAAGTTTGTATACAATTAAAGTTACTATTATTCAATTAAAAAATTCCACCACCACCCCCATCGTCTTATAATAGTAATATCAAAATATCTAGACGACGGTCTTCTATATAAAATTTAACTTGATAGAATTTAACTTAGCATCAATTGTTGACATCAAATCTTTATACGATAAGATATACGTATACTTAGATTTCATTGTGTTATTAAACCCGATTAAGGGTGTCGTGTAAATGTATAGACAACATCTAGACACCTAATTCCTCGACGGCGAACACTTAGACACTCACTTCCTCGATGGCGAACACCTAGACACTCATTTCCTCAATAGCGAATACCTAGACATCCGTTTCCTCAATAACGAACACCTAGACACCAACTTCCTCGACGGCGAACACCTAGACACCCACTTTCTCGACGGTATAAGTAACGTTGGCAATGACTCAATTTCAAGCGTGCGATTAGCTCAGCGTAAATGTATTAGGCTACCATTCTAGGGATCGTAGTTTTAAATCTTGTGGGAGATGCGATGTGTTTTTTAATAATTAATTGTAGTTAATAAGACAGAATATAGGTATGCGAAAAAGTAAATAATAAATTGAACTTTAAGAATAGAAGTAATAACAAAAAATTTTTTTTTTCGTTAAGGTATAACTGTAATTTTTTTATTACATAAAAAAATTGTTTTCATTCATGAAGATTTTTTGTTATATATAAAAAATATTTCTTTCATTTAAAAAGAGTTGCAAAACTATAAAAATTATTTTTTTAATTCTAATAGAAAGGAACAACAAAAAACTTCTTCAAAGAAATCGAATAGATGTCGATCCCATTATTATTTCTTAATTCTTAATGTGCCATATATACGCCAGGCTAATCGCCTGGTGTCACCTGGTCAGTCCGTTGGTGATGGCACGTCAAATTTCAATAGTTCAGCATCTTAACGTTCTGACCGTTATAGTGCTTCTTAATTTAAAGCATTATGTTTAACATTAGCGGTCTTTCAATCTTATTATTGTTTATACACGCGCGCCGAGAAATGCGTAACTCTCTATACATATCGATTATTGCGAAGAATAATGCTAAGGTCTCGGTGGTCTAAAGGCTTAGGACGCTCGCACGGAATGCAAGAGATCCGGTTCGATTCCCAGCCGAGGCATTATTTTTCGCAATAAATTTATTACAGTTTTTAAGTTGGGAAATTTGGGGGGATTATTAATATTTTCAGATTTGATTGCGTTGAAAGTCCGACAACCATATCGGCACGCAATTATAATTTCTGAAATTAATTCATTTAAATGAATTTACAATAGTTCAACATCTTACGTTCTGACCGTTATGGCGCTTCTTAATTTAAACCAGAAATAATTATTTTCAAGCTAACTAGGGATTAATATAGTAGTTTAAGCAAGAAAATATTACATTTGCATGCGATGTTTGCCGCTTCTCGGCCATATTGAATTCGCCATATTGGATCTTTTAAAACGCCACATTTCTTTCGAAAGTACATACACATACGAATAATTTAAGACCTTGAACGTTTATTTTCATTGCGCTGATTTTTAGGCATGCAGGTAATCTGGTTGACGTAGAACGTCCCACAAATGTAATCTATTCAATGTAAGACCACAAAAATATTTACAAAACATTTTGATAAATATTTTGTAAATATTTTGTATATATTTTATAGTTATTGTGTTCTGTCTGGCAAACAATATCAAATAATAATAAATATTAATTCTTTACTCTTCGTTAATAAATATTTGTTTGAGTTTTATCTCATAATAATCAATAGCAGTGGATTTATGGATATAGATTTATCTGAATTTTTTTATATTTTCATGTGGAGAACTCATTTTCGAAATTTGTCCTTATATTTTAGTTGTAACGTTTTAGAGTTCATGTATATATGAACTCTAAAATATCTTAATATTTCTCTGCCAAAATTTGAAAAAGTTTAAGAAATTTTTTTGGAAAACCTTCAAAATTAAAAAAAAAAATTTTTTTTAATTGTATGAGATGTTTTCCACAAGGGCGATTTTTAGTTGAGTAAAAAATTTTGATAATTGTAATTTGGTAATATTATTATTTTTAGATAATTTTATAAATCACAAGACTGCAGCAATATTGCTACAACATTTGTTACTGCAATATTGCTGGAACGTTGCTATGTTGCTATAGTATTGCTGGAACGATCTATGATCTATGGGATAGCAAACATGCAAATAAAGATAGTTTTCGATTTTTAGGAGGATGGCAAGTAAGAAATGGCGGTGGTAATCACGCTAAGGTAACACGTTGTGATTACATAAAACAAACTTTCTGCGAGGATGTTCCGGATTATCCTCAGGAGTTTGTAAATCAGATGCTCGCCAAGAATTACAGCTTATTACATTACGCGTACGAGGATGTTGTTAGTAGACTTATAATTATAATATTTCTTCTCGCAGCTAACAAAATATTGATTTAGAATTTTCTATTTTATGAATAGATTGCTCTGTCACCACGATTAGATAACGAAGAGGAACCACTTTGCCTGTCTACGGTAAAATCATCTTTAAATTGTGATCTCTTCTAAAGATGACCCTACACGGTTAGTAATACTGATCAATAATGAATCATGATCAGAATGCTGATCAGTATTATGGTCAAAATCAATAATTCTGACAGTATATATTAATATTTTGAGTATTTTTACGATCTTACACAATCAGTATTATTGACAATATATTTCACTTTAATTTTACGTACAATACATTATTTATTATAATTGTGACATACGGTGACATAAATCCTAATAAAGCGATACTAATACTCGAAAATCAAAATCCAATCACCGTCAGTTTGTTCTACATCAATCCACCAATATTAATTACACACAGTCAGTAATTGTTAATACTGATAGTATTTTATTGAACGTGTAGAGCTATCTTTAGCAAATACCAATTATAATAATAACGTAATTGCTAGGAATGCGTTCCAAAATTCGACTCTGTCAAATCCGAGCATCTTTTATCCTTGTTCAGCATTCAGTGAACAAAGATGAAATGATACTCGAGTTGAGAGAGATGAGTTTTAGAGATAAAATTTGCCCTTTATACAGTCAGCCTCAAAGCTGACGTCCGAGTGATCTTGACCTTGACCTTGATCCTCAAGGAGGTCAAGACCACTGACATTTTCCATCGGTAGTTATTGATTAAAAAGTTATGAACGAAACAATTTTTATAAATAGCACATAATTTTTAAACACAAGGTACATATTTCGGCAGTATTTTTCCTTGACAAGAAGAGATGGGGGTAGATCTCAAGTCGTGCATCCCAGAAGCAGGGGGGGAAGGTGGTATGAAAGTCGTTTAGCGTGGAAGTCGTGTGCCCTTGAAGCAGGGGGGATGTGGAGTGAAAGTTGTTTCGCGTAGAAAGTCGTGCGTTCCTTGACAGAAGAGGGGAGGAAATGGGGTGAAATTCGCTTCATGAGGAAAGTCGAATGCCACTTGGCAGAGGGCTTTAAAAATAAAGTCTCTGCTTTCAAAATACAAATTTTCTGCTTTATAAAAATACAAATTATTTTTTATATATTTTTTATATTTACAGTAGAAAATTTGTATTTTAAAGCAGAGAATTTATGTTTTAAAGCAGAGAATTTGGGTTATTAAAGCAGAGCACCTCGTCCTTTACCAAGGGGCGCCCGACTTTCCGCACGAAGCAAATTTCGTCACCCCCTCCCCTGTAAAAGGGCGCATGACTTGTTCTAAAGCAGAGAATTTGTGTTTTTAAAGTAGAGAATTTGTTTTTTAAGCTGAGAATTTGTATAATTGAAGCAGAAAATTTTATTCTAGCCTCACTTACACGGTCTCATGTTCCTCTATACCACCAATGTATTTGAAAATTACGTACTATTCATAAAAATTGTTTTTCAGCCTCCTTGAGAGTCAAGGTCAAGGTCACTCGGAAGTCATTTAGGCTGTAAATTGGAAGTTTTATCGTTTTTTGTTTTAAAAAGTAACTACTGACTTCGGCGGTTGGTCTGGATCACTCCGCATATACAGTTATTAAAAAAGTATCTTTTCAATTACTTTTCTGTTATCATTACAGAAAAACATAGATAACATTTTGATACTATGAGGATCAACAAAGAAAAAGATTGATTGATGTTTTTACATGTGTTTGTTATACAATTTTATTTAAGTAGACACATAGATAAACATAAAGCAAGAAAATGTAAGCAATGAGCGAATCGATCAATTACACAGACTTGCATGGTTTTGTTGATTGGGATTTGACTATGTTTTCTTACGTAACTTTTCGCGTTGAATCCGAATCCGGCTGCAGAATTACTCTATCACGTCAGGTTTTTGAGAAAAGTGAGGTTAAAGGTGTCAAAATTGACGTTTTTTGACATATTTGTGATTTTTTTGCTAGCGAACTAAATTTTTTTTTCTACTTTCGTTTACACCATCTTAAAGTGCCAACTTTTATCTTCAAAATATATTTTTTTTAACGCCGTACGTTTTTTTTTCACCGAGATAATCTCTGCGTAATCACACAAAAAAACATTTTTGGCATAAAATGTTTGTGTGACTACGCAGAGATTAACTATGTTTTCTCACATAATTTTTCGCGCTGAATTCGAATCCGGCTGCAGAATTGCTCTATCGTGTCAAGATTTCGAGAAATCAACCTATAACTGCCAAAAAAGCCATTTTCAGTCGTATTTGAAATTCAATTAAAAATTGATAAAATTTTTGTCGTCTAATCCATCGATGGTATCATTTACTACTATATAGCCCCTTCAAAATCCATTTTGGACCATCTCAAAGCGATTTTTTTCCGGAGATATACCAATTCGAAGTTCGATAAATTGTACCTCGTAGAATTCTAATCTCTAAGGCAAAGTTGGTGACTCCCTGGCCAGTGAAGGCAAGGTGGATGATTCCCCGGCCAGTGAAGGCAAAGTGGATGATTCCCCGGCCAGTGAAGGCAAGGTGAATGATTCCCCGGCCAGTGAAGGCAAGGTAGATGATTCCCCGGCCAGTGAAGGCAAGGTGGATGATTCCCCGGCCAGTGAAGGCAAGGTGGATGATTCCCCGGCCAGTGAAGGCAAGGTGGATGATTCCCCGGCCAGTTAAGTTGCTTTTACAATGATTTATGAAATCTTTTCTTTTTTCATCAAAACTACATGAATTACAATGTCGTTTGTGTGATGCGTTTTTCTGATCACGTTTCAAACTCCAGCAGTAGTCACCTAACATTGCTGAGTTCCACCTGCCTTGATATCTTCTTTCAATTTCCTTCATATCTTGATGGAATTTTTTCCCTTGTTCTTCACTGACGTCTCCCAGATTTGCGGCGAAAAAGTCCAAATGAGAATAAAGAAAATGCAGTTTTACACTCATGCTACAACCTAATTTTTTGAAGTTATCTAGCATGGTCTCAACTAGATCTTTGTAATTAGCTTCCTTCCGATTCCCTAAGAATCCTTTAATAACT